AGGGATTACAGGGCATGCATTTTGACAGGGATGGCACTATTTATTAGGCCAATGCTTTAGACTATTTCCCCTTACTTAAAAATGGTTAATGTCCTCCCATTATGCATATACACATCAATTCTGCCACCTTGTGGTAATGTAGCGTTTTGCACAAGGCTTTAAGTAATGTACATTTTGGTGCAAAAAATAATTTGCCTCTTTCAGATTTTCTGAAGGCTTGAATACTTTTACCACTGAACATCGTCAGAACTTCATGTGATATCTGCTGATATCTAAAGGGAGATAACAAAATATAATACTGAATCTTATGTTTTCAAGTTTCATAAGACATCCTTGTGTTTATTTATTAATATATTTCTTTATTAATTTATTACCCTATTTTCTTTATATCTCTTTTATTTTCTATAAGCAATTCAACATGTCTAATATTAATAACACAACTTCTATCTTATTAATTGTGGTTTGCATGTTATATGAAATCCAAACGCCTATTATTATTTTTATTATTATTTTTAAAAAACATGCAGAAATATAAAATATGAACAAACTGAATCTCACACCACTAGCTTAAGGCATCAATATTGTAAGCAATTTCTTATGTCCGTACACAATATTGTGTTATCCATGCATAGAAAGCTTCTAAAACATTTCCACTAGTCAGTTTTGGGTGGGTAATAAATAAGGGGGACATGATGTCTATAAAACTGAGTTTCAGGAAGTTTGGTGAAAATGTTTGCAGCGCAGATAACTGTATAAATAATAATATCATAGTTGCATCAGAAATTTAATTATGATGGCTCCCTCATTATTGGTTTTATAGCACGATTATAAAAAATAGGATGAAAAATACAAAGAATAATGAAATACCAAAGGCAACTAATAAATGACCTCCCTCACCTTTATGATGGATAACATTTTAATATGATGGATACCTGGTTGGAAAATTTTTGCGAATCTTTATCAAGTACCTTAATCTGCATTCCTCAGTGACTTTAAAAAGGTAGAAATAAAATGTTAATATTCTCTTATCTTTCTATTGATAAGAAGATTTAATACATTTTTATTTTCTTGATGTGAAAAAGTATGAGACTTTGCTAACCATTTTAAAGATTTAGGCTCCATTTTTAGCTCAAGCTTGGATAAGTAAGAATGATGTTTATCAAGTTTCTAGTGGATTGATTTGATAGTTCTGACACAAATCTCGGAAGCATGATATTCCAAATTGAAGAAAATAAATATGCATATCTTTAAAATGCCAAGCATTTTCATAACTATTAATCTGCAGATACGTAATGCTGTGAAAACTAGCCCAGTTATTAATTAGGAAGTGAAGCAGAGTCTTTATATTGTTGCTGTTGTTATGAACAATTAACAAATACATAAAGAACCCAATACAATTTAAAAACAAGAAACAATATAAAAGCCTATTTAAAAAGCATTGTAAGATACATAAAACTCAGAGCTCATATTCCCATTCATCAAATTCAGCATAGCCACCACACTGGCTAGTTTTCCTGTGTCTTCAGGGCTTTGCAAAAAGCCAGGTGGGTCAGGGCCCACTGGATCTCCAGGGGGAAGATGTTCCACCTGATGGATGTTTGAGCAGAAAACACTATCTTCTGGACATTCATTGTTTGATGGGATCCCCACATTATGCTCCTCCTGCCAGATCTGATGAGATGGGAGAGAGGTGGTCCTTCAAGTAATTCAAATGTGTACTTGCTACTTTCAGGTGAAGGGAAAACTCTGATTTGTAAACTGAACTCTGCCCCTAATAGATTTGTTTTCTAAAAATAAAACTGTTGAAATGTTATTTCATCCCATCTGGGATTGAAATCTGTAGTGTACAAAGCATTTTCTGTGTACCTGAAGTTGGCTCCAAGTCTAATCTGTTTGTGAGCTCAATGTGCTGTGATTTGCTTTGATTTTTAAGTAATGTATTCCTAGGAACATACAATAATCTTGCCAGATTATGAATGAAATGGCTGTCCTGGATGACCTGTCAGGACCTGGATGGGGATTGCACACTTCCCTAGGTACTTTAACCATATCATATTGGATCACCTATAAAGGTTGGAGATTGAATAGATTGGTTCCCTTTCTTCATCAGTAGATGGTTCCAGCCTATTGTAATGGGGAATGAGTGGCAGACCAGATAGTCTATGACTTATTGGATGCCATAGGTAGTCCTCAGTCCTTCTTTTAACATGTATAGTATGGTTTTTCAAGAGGCAACAGGACTTTCTGGTTTTTCTTTGAAGATGTTTTAGTTTCTCATCCAAGGAGCTTCTTCTGTTCTGACAGGATGGTGGGGAATGGAAGGATTTATACTCCTTGTAGACAGCTGGTCATTTGCATTCTCTTAGCAAGAATGCAGGATACAACATCATCTATCTCCAGTCTACAACACAGTCCTTTCAGCAGTTCCAAGAAGGCTCCACATCCATTTATACCATTCAGGTGACCCTGATGACACAGATAAACCTCAACAACTCGCTAAAAGAATGCAAATGACCAGCTGTCTGCAAGGAATATAAAGCCTTCCTAAGACTTGACCTAAAGGAAATGCAAAATGCGCCACTTTCAAAAACAGAACAATGACAAATTGAATATTTCTGAAGAAGAAAGAACAGTTACTCTACATAGGAGATATTTAGAGCACCTCTCTCTCATGGGGATGTACCAGAGAAAAGGCATGGATACATCTTTCCATTTGTCAGAAAAATTAAGTAGGTAATATTTTCCCTTTTAGGTTTAACTTTTAAAATACAGTACTCTTAAAGTGTTCTCAAAGCTGTAAAAATTTCAGTCCTTGTTTTAAAATCATTTTTAATACACCCATAGAGTTAATAAATATATTTAAAGTATTTAATGCAATTTAGATCACTAGCTCGTAGCTTTTTATATCTATGTCACGGCTATGTCATACAGTTACTATGTAACTGTAGATCTCTAGAACCAGATTCCTTTTATGATAGAAATGCTCCAGTTATTTCTTGAAAAAGACAGGCACATATTTATAAGCATTCTGTTCTATTTTTTTATTCAAGTTTTTAAGCTCCTTAATATTTCACTGACTTGTGTCTCACTGCAGTAGAGTATATTCAGACACCTCTGCACCAAAGTGTAGCAAGTTGGACCTTCTGGAATATATTAATCTTTCTCTTACATACGCTGCTGCTGGAACCACCACAATTTTGAAGTGCTGCTACTACTTTCACACAGCATCAAATTTTCCACACTCTGGAAGAGAGTGAAAAGTCCTCCTGCTTATTATTCCTTTCATTCTCTTCTATAGCATCAGTAGTGCAAGGTGTTTTAGCGTTCTTTTCTGGCAGAATGAATGTCAGGATAAGAAGATATTTCAAGATTATGTATTAACTGTTAAGGAACCAATTTAGAATTAAAAAGACAAAGGAAAACAAGGAAATGAGAATCCTGTCCACAACAGGACTATATAGCAAGTACACAAAGAAGAGTTCAGTTCAATCTTTAATACACATTGTTAGAAGCTTCATAATTGGATCTAGTCCCATATTTTTGCAGAGGATTAACTTCTTCTGATTTTCCAATCCTCGTTCCAGGACTGGGACAATTGGTTTTCCCTTGGGAGGAGCAAGCCAGCAAAGTTTCCCTCTTCCTGTTCGGAAGATACATTATAGAACAAACATCCAAAACAGCCCATTTTCCATCTTCCAAAATTAATCTGTGAAGAGCTTTCTTGCTCCTAATTGGCTACTTACAGGTCGAGTTTCCTGGGCTTTGCTGGACCAAGGAATCATAAAACAATAGAACAACACATCTAAGTCAGAGTTTTACATAGTGGTATGGCTCAGTAAAGGTATTTGCCAACTTGGAATATGAGTGAAAATTTAACATGGTTTAAAAATAATGAATATAAAATTTATCTGTATGACCCTCAAATTTGGAAATTGGGGAGAGCAAAACATGTCAGGATATCATACACACACAGGGGAGGCTGTAAAAAGAGATGGGCAAGAGTTTAACCTCCCCAGAGCCACAAGAGCTATGTCCCCGAGGATATGGTCACTCATGAAATCTACCCATCTAGAGGGGGGAAGGAAGAGCATTAAAACCAGTTATAGAAAAAGACGATATATATTCACTCAGGATTAGATGCAAACACAATGAAGGACTTGCAGTGGTCAACCCCTGGGCCATGCAAGAAGCGGGTGAGCAGGCTTGTGTCCACAGTTCCACTTGTGCAAGTGGCACAAGTGGAGCTGCTCTCTCCCCCCTCCCCCGCCGCCAGTCCGCAAAGGTGTAAAGGTTGGAGATTGCTGGTCTAGCATTTGGCTAGAAAATGTAGGAACAGCTGTGAGATCATTCTCATGGTCAATATCCCCCAATTTGCTCCTTTACCATGACCATATTCAGAAGAAAGGCTGAGACAACAAAATTCATTCATACAAGTTTGATACCATAATTGACAGCTCTCCATCAACAGCAGAGGTAACAATCCTGTAGGATCAAACGTGACTCCAAAGCATGAAGTTCTCAGAAATGTAAATTCTAGATTTTACAAGTTCCTCACCATAAGACCCTTGAAAGAAACTTGTTCCTCAGACTGAATGACAGCTCTGAAAATATTTCCCTGTTCCTGTTCTTGAAAAACATATGCCATTCTATTTGTAGTCTAATAATCAGGTCAACATTTATACTCTTTTTATCAGATGTACTCTTCCTTTTTAAATTTATCACAGATATTTAAAAACGTAATTCCCTGTTTAAATGGCAAAAATGAAAGGCAGAAAGCAAACAAAATAGAAAGGCCATTCCTTTCCGATTGAAAGCCAAGGATTCAAAGTGTACCTACTTGCATTTTCAGTCTCAATTGCTCTGGTCAATTAAATGGAATTATGATATGTCAAACAGAGATCTTCCTTAAGACAAAGATTCACCCGTACTGTTAAAAACAACCGAACAATCTAATGAAATTATATTCATACACAGATGAAATACGAAAATTAGACTTCAAGGAGATTTGAAACAGATATTGAATTTATTGGTCAGCTATGAGTAGGAAAATACATTGGTAAAGAAAAAAAAGACAACCCTGTATATAAATATAATACTAGCTAGTTAAAATTTGACCAAGAAGAAAGTTCCACTGAAGAGAACAGTAAAAGCCCTTGTTTACCATCAGACCATATTCAATTTCCCATTTATCATATTGAAGAGCTGCCTATGGACAAATGCAACATTCTTTGAGCTTAGTGCAGATGATGTGCTGGTTTTTTTTTTTTGTTACACATATGGTAAACAAGAGTTAGTCCAGTGCATTACACGTTATACAGAAGTACTGTGAATAGAGACTACCTAAAATTTAGACACTACTTAAAACATACCAAGATTACCTACATTTTAAAGAAGCTTACACAACTGAAAAGTATATCAGGAGTTAACATATATGAAAATACTGTGTCAGGCTGGATGGGGAAAATAAAACAGACTCACTACTTAAGCAGTAAATTTGACTTGGAAATTTGCAGTGATTAACTCTGTTGAAAAATGGTAGTGCAATTATTTTGTCTTTGAGTTCTTTGTCCTATGGATGAAGTGAGAACTTGACATCTGAACCTACTATTCTATGTTTAAGCCACAGCAAAATTCATATAATTTTATCAGAGATTTACATAAGTGGGTGCAAGTCTGCATTTTGAATGGTTAGTTTTACAATGGAGACTTTGTATGTTTTAAACCCACAAATAAACAGGGACAAAATAATTACACACATATCCTCTTATATTTTTCTCGGTGATCTTAACATTTCAAAATCCCTAACGTTTATATTTTCCATTTAAGTTCTGTTAACAATTGAATGTATGCCCATTTCATAACCAAACAGACATATGTAGTTCTTTTCTTAAATTAGGAGACAGGGACAGGACATTTCATGCCCAGCAATGTTCTATACTTTTGATTTAATATATGTGGTTACATTAATAAGAAATACTGAACATATATTATGGCAACATCCAAAGCCACCTTAAGTAAATAAATTGTTAAAGTTACTGGAAATTAGCATTTTGTGAAGACATTGTTTATTGCATTTTATTTATTAAATATCTGAATTTGTTTGATGCAGAAAATTATTTAAAAATAGTATTACACTTGGTGCAATTAATGTAATTCAGTAAAGTTGCAGAATATTTCCTCAATGTGAGCTTCAATTCATTGCTGCAGGATTTGACCAAAGGTCCACTGATGCCAAAGGGGCTCTATTGTTTCTGAGGAGATTTTATTCTTCATCTTCTTATCCAAACATAGAAAATTAATTTGAGCAGCTCGGAGACTGCAATATGCCCAGGCAAGGATAGAAGAGCACCTGAATAGGTTTCTAAGCACTGAATATGCTACCACAAATTCATACAGATATGTATTTAAGACGGAACAAGTGAAGGTGAAAATGGATTTGTAAAGCTTAAACCTTTAAGATTTACCAAGTGCACTCAAGCTCCAACTTAAATGGAAAAAAAAAATCAACTCCTTCCAAGAAATATAAAATGTATAAGTGCTTCCCTTCTATAAAGCTTTCTGGACATACTACTAAATAATCCAGATGATCAGGAAACAAAGAGTTGCAAAATATGACAAGCTAAATTGGTTCCACTGTCAGAGAAAATTGTCATGACATACATTACCAACACATTGTTAAGGAAAGATGAGTAAAACACCTTTTATTCACACTTTTACAAAATAACCCGAACCAAAAAAAGAACAAAAGAACAAAAAAACCATCACTACTCATTGGATCTACTACATCAATTGTTACCAGCATTCCGATGTACTGATTATAAACTGGACATGTTTGGTATTTGAATAACTAAAAAAAAAAAAACCCCAAACAAACAAAAAAGAAAAAACCCCACAACAACAACAAAAGAAAAAAAATCAGGTCCTAGACAAGGATTCAAGATCTCCCCTTTTTCTACTGAAACTTTAAAATGTTTTAAATATGAATTCATTGCAAATTTATTATTGTTCTCTTCAAAACAAAATGGTTAAGCACTTCTAAGTGCAGATAATTTCCTCTTTATAAAATATTCAATTAAGATCCATTTTTATTTTTTTAAAAGTCATTATTTTCAGAATCTCAATACAAGAGCGAGCTTTTATTTCTCTGCCTGCAGTTGAAACAAAAGCAGTTTGACCAAGTTCTTTCTTTATATAAGGTAATATTGAAGGTATGCCTATTAAGGATTCGATAAAATTCCCCTTTAGAACAGATTGTGTGTGTGTGTCTGTTTGTGTGTGTATATACAAATACACACACACACACACGGCTTTCAAACACTAATGGCACTATGTGGGTACACAATTTTATTTTTGTTGACACTTTACAGAAAAGGACTTGGTCACTTTAATGATTGATCTGAAATGTTGTCTAGGGAACCTGTACTGAAAAAGCATTTCTAATTACACTGCTTCATAAAATAGAAGACGGCATACTTAATCTTCAAGGAATGGCGACTGAGGAATACAGTTAAATTGAAAAAGGAATTCACATGATGATATTTAGTGGGGAAGTGAGGCTAGGAAAGAAACAGCATTATGCAATAACATTGAAAGAAGCAGTGCAGGGGTATCAGAAGCTTAGAATTTGTGTACCCACCATCTGAGCATGTTCATAAAAGTGATATTCCAACGCTTCACAAAAGGAAAACAAAATAGATGCCACAGCTTATACAAAAGTATCTTCATAAAATTTTCACAAAATGTTAACATTATTTTTTAAAAAATAAAAGAGGATGCCCAGGTTCCCTCTGCATGCACAGGCAGTGCTAATTGAGAACAAAATCAAGCAGGCACAGTGGAGATAGGAAATTGGTGACTCAACACAGAAACTAAAGAGCTGTACACAATGTTCTGCCCAACCCACTTCTGACAGGAAAAATGCTAGTGATCATACTGATGAGTGCTATCCATCCACAAAAAGCCTAATCAGACACTGCTTAGCTTATCTGCTCCAAAAAACAAGTGAAAGTTGCCACTTTAAGTTAAAAGAAAGAAAGAAACGGATGCATGTTAACTATGAATTTACCAAATTCAGATTTAAAAGCGGTGTTCTCAATTTTAAAAAAATGAAGTAGTACATATGGGCTAAAAGCCCTAACAGTGCAAATCATTAGCAGAGAAAATCTGGTGCAACTTCTTTTACAAGCTGGCCTTTATAACACATGAAACAGATAAAAATTTAGCCTTAGTTTACAATACAATCATTTTCCAAATCTGATTTTTTTTAAGTACAAAATCTCATAAATCAGGTTTTCTGTTGTTCATATACAATCAATAAAGGCTAAATTCAAATTCTATATTTTACAAACAAACAAGTCTGAAAAAGAAGGGAGTGAAGTATGGAAGAATGGTCTTTTGATTTTTAACTACTGGCCTCAAAAAGTAGTGCTACAGATATCTGTGCAAAAGAGAATTTATTATAGTAATTCCCTATTTTCAAGGCATGAAATATTACATTGGATAAAACAAACAGATTATTGGTAACAAATCTAAGAAAGGTGCCCATGCACCAATCCCTGTCTAACAGTATATAAAGCATGTTGGGCTCAGAATTGTGTGTCTGATAGCACCTGGCTTTTACTATTTCTTTAACAAATTATTAGATTTAAAATTAAGATCATTAAGAAAGATCCCTGTTGGCCATACCTCACTCCTCTATATTCAGATTTTACAATTTTACAAATTACATAGAGGTTGTCCTCTAAAATGTACTTGACTACCTCCTGCTAGGCAGATGGATTCCATTTACCGGCGGCAGGAAAGGCAGCACCAGCTCCAGTTGTGCAAAAAGTGAGAAGTGGTCAGAAGGAATGAGCGGGTGTGGACAGCCACTTATATTGTTCTCTATTAGCCAATGATGATCCAAAGGTCCTAAGATGCCAAGAATATTCAGCTGAGGTTTAGAATAGAAGATGTAATCAATAATACCCTAAAAAAAAGGAGAAAGAAACTGCATGAATATCTTTACATTAATAAACTACAGGTTTGTATGAAAACATTAATTTCATCTTAAAATATCCACTGGTGTATTTTTATATGGCTGGCCTATGCAGTTTTCAGACATAGAAAAATGCCTACTCCAATATAAATTTTCCTATAGTTTAAAATCATATGTGGCATTACTACTTCAGTTTCCACTGCTTGTAGCTATCAGGTTGTCACTCCAATCCTATCTGCCTGTAACATTTAATTTACAGTTCTCTCTATCCACAGCTGATGTGTGCAATAAATCAGCTCACATAACTACCGAATAGGAGAGGTATAAAATTGTAAAAACCATTTAAATATCTGGAACCATGAGCCAGGAAAGATGGCTTTTGCCATGCTTTCTTAGCTACCTGGTGTAGGATATGTAGCATCAGAATGGCTACCCTGCATGTGTGAGTGGGCTGAAATGCAGGACTTTGAAAGGGGACATTTTAAAATGATCTATTGTCTTATATTTGTGATGTTAAGAAATGGCCCTGGTCACAACTTCAGGTGCCGAATTTGATTAATTACTTTCTGATCAAAGGATAGGAGATCCACAATAAGAGAAAGATTGTTTGCAGCAAAACAAGATCAGGTTTATGACACCATAAAATATGGTGTGATATTTTGGTATGTAGAGAAGAAAATAAGCTACAGTTGCCAGAGATGATACTGAAGTCACATAAACTCATTTGTAAAACTAGTGGGATAGCTATCTGTGGCGATGGCAATGTTTACGATATCCTTTTTCAAAAAGATTTTAAAAAACACAACATCTAGACAAGAAAGGAGAGGGGATGTAAGCATAGCCATAGAATCTGAATTGGTTTGACACATTCACGTTATCTCAAAAGATGGCATATGAGATCCATACTAAGGCCTTCAGAATTAGTGAGGCTTATTGCTCTCACAGGCAGAACAGAAATCTTCATGCTACGTCCAATTCTACTTCTTAGGACAGAATATGACATTTTCAAAATGCTTAGAACTAAAATGTACACAATCTCATAGCCTTGACTACAATGGTTGGGGCCTAAACATCTGAAGAACACCAGATTACTTAGCTACAGATAATTCTAGACTAGGTGAGACAATGGAGGCTAAACTAATTCCCCATTTGTCAGACATCTTTCATAGTACACTAGTACCAGTAGTTCTTGAGAAATACCAATAATTTAGCCAATGTACATAATAATATTGCCTTGAACCAATATAGCAGAAAAAACATTCATCTTATTATCAGAATCTAATATCTGAACCTTGCTGAGCCAAGGGCTTTTTCTCCAAAATCAGTATAGGAAAAGAGAAGAGACACGAGAGAAGCAATGATGAGATAATATGAAGTAAGAGTATTAGCTATAAATAGAATTCCTAATCTGGAGTTTATATATTCAACAAATTAATATACTCTCATCCACTTAATGGCTCTGGGCAGCTTACAAAGGTGTGCTTAAAAACAAAAATATTAAACATTGTAACAACAAACTCCTAACATTAGAACACAGGCGGTCTGGCTGTTTATCTGTTTTAGAAGAGTAAAATAGATGACAGGACACTAAGTCATATGATCTGGTTCTGATCCATTGTCATCAAATTTTGGTTTAATATTCATTAAGTTTGTAATTGCACTGTTATAAACATCAATGTGATTTAAAACTGGGAATATATTCTTGAATTATACATACACACCAAATGCAAGTTCTCCCGGTATCAAGAATTACTGATTTTACTGAGCTTTGGAGTGGAGCAGCAACAAACAATACCTCTTCATGTTGTAAAAACAGTGTGACCTCCAATTTGCAACTTTGAATTGTCAATATATGTTTGTTGTATGATTGCAAACTGGCTATTTATAAATGCAATGGAAAGCCTGATATTATTCCATAGGGTCAAATTTTAATGACATGTTTAAAAATTGGGCTAATTGTCCTGACTGATCTGGCAGGGCAGGGCATTTTCTAGATCAGCAGTCCCCAACCTCCAGGGACTAGTTCCATGGAGACAGGTTTTTCCACAGACCGGAAGAGGCGTGGTTTGTGTGTTGCCTGCATTCTATAGATGGGGCTTTGTTTGGCACAGCCTGGTTTCTGGCATACCAATGTGGTGCAGTCCACGGACCAGGGGTTGGGGACCCCCGCTCTAGGTACCTTCAGCTAAGAAGTATTGGCTAGAGGAACCCAAGAACGCCTTTTTTGCTGTGGCATCAATCCTTTGGAACATCATTCTCCCATATTAGATTGGCTCTGGCCCTCTTGGCTTTTTGTAAAGCCTTGAAATCTTGGTTTGGAGCCTAGCCTGGTGCCCTGGGCATGTATTACGATCTATCACTTGGCTGTGTGAATGATTGGTTAGATTATGCTAGCTGCTATGAATTTATATATTTTTATATTGAATATTTTATGCATTTTATTTATTTTATTGCAATCTGCCTAGAGTCACATAAAAGTGAGAGCTATATAAATTGAAGCAATAAAAGGTTTTACATGTAACATAGCATGTTTTGGTCATTTCCTTACTTGTGGGTTCCCCCCACCCCCCTACCCCTTTAACAACAGACCCTATTTTAAAAAGCAAATAAAAACTCAGGTATTTTCTGAGCCCCCTCTAAGCTGTAATAAGAAAGAAGCTGGCTTCATCTCCTGAGGCCATCTGTAATATCTACAGAAAGCAGAAGTAATTGCTAGTGTCAAATGCATCTCTGGCAAGATAAGCAGTAAGTGCTTCTTTGAGGTCAATAGGAGATGAGTCACCAAAGCCAGGTCTCTCTCACCAGGCAGGGACAGGTCTGATTTATCAGATGAAAATGATTAAATATCCATATGGTCACTGATGCTATATGATTTATCCTTCATCAATGATGAATAAAATAGAATAACCTCATGCCGTCCCTGATCCTTAAGAATAAAATGCCATCCCACTCCACTCATAATAAGTGTTTCTTCAAAATTCTAAGTCCATCTCCCACATTCAGTAACAAATACGTCTTGTCCTGATTTAGTTTCAATTTGTTCTCCCAAATAACCTGGAAATGCTCAAGATTTTCTGAGATGTCCTGAATTTACAGAACAATAAAAATAAACATGTTACCAACAACTAGCTCTAATTCTGTGATCATTTCCAGAAACTTCATATGCATATAAAATAACAGAATCTTACGGGACACTTCTCGATAATTACAACAGGAAATTATTTCTCTCTTTCTTTTCAGTTTCCAAAATCCTGCACACTCTCAGATCCCTAATTCCTACCATAATTTACTTCATATTTCATAATGTTTCTGGATTGGGTTTTCCAGCGAACCTACATAAACCTTAAAGCAACATTAGTGCAATGGGAATTTGTTTTAAGGAGTCATAATCTCTGTGTAAAATCAATCTTACCTTGAAATCAAATGTGTAATTTGTGTAAGGCATTAAACCATTCTCATAGGCACTCTTCAACTTGAAACCATGAGTAATCCTTCCATTGGTAGTTCCGTTTTTCCCATTATAACTGAAGTTAGTGAGACTTTCATTATATCTCAGTTCCTTGAAATCTTTATGATTTGTTTCTACGCCATCAGTACTCAAATATTCAACCACACCTATTACAATGCAAATTAACAAAAGAACAATTAATAAAAAAGCAAATTTGTTCATTTCAGTACTATTGCTCCATCATGGCCAAAGGAAAGTATTACCATGCATTCACTTTTATACTGCTTTTATTAACTAAGAAGCTGGAAATGTTTATCAGCTGATTGTATTTTTTGTTTTCTATACAACAATAAGCATGAAATATATGATTTGGACCAAATCAATTAAATTAAGGAGACAGTGATGTTCTACGTGTTTGTGAGCCAAAGGTTAATAAAACAAGTCTAACTCCATCACTAGTAGTCCTTGACATACAACCATTCATTTAGTGATGGTTTGCAGTTATAAAGGCATTGAAAAAGTGATTTATAATCATTTTTATACTTATAAAAATGTAGCATCCCCATGGACACATAATCAAAATTCAGATGACTGGCAATTGGCGTATACAATTGTAGTGAACTAGGGTAATGTGATCACCTTTTGCAACTTTCTGACAAGCAAAGTCAATAGAGAAGCCAGACTGACAGTTGTTAAGTTACCATGTTACTAACTTGACTGTTAAGTGATTCACTTAACAGTTAAGTTACCATGTTACTAACTTGACTGTTAAGTGATTCACTTAACTGCTGTGACAAAAAGTTGTAAAATGGGGCAAAACTCACTTAACAACTGTCTTGCTTAGTAATGGGAATGTTCGGCTCAATTGTAGCCGTAAATCAAGTACTACCTGTACTTAAGTGTTCATATCAAATTTCAGTTTTCAAAATTCTTCCACTTTACAAATACTGTAATGCTTTACTGAAGATCGGTATTATTCCATGCTACATACAGAAGATTAGAAAAAATTTCCAGTGGGTGCAGTGCGATTGAATTGAAACTAAATTTATTAGACGTTATTAGTTAAGGTGCTGGACTAGGACTAGAGAAACCTAGAATTAAGTGACTTTAGGCCATGGAAGCTCATTAGGTCACTTTGGGAGAGTCATCTGAGCTCACCAAATTAACTGACAATATTATTACTGTGGGGAAAACTGAAGGAGAAATGGTTATGTATGTCACCTTGAATATCCATGGAAGAAAAGTGGAACAAAAATCTAATACAAAATGCTAAATCCATAAAAAGCTGTACACACCCATCCTCAATTAAATGCCCTCTTAACTGAGAACCTGAACAAGTGATGGTCAAGCAGAGAATTCAGAGTGCTTTGGACCTTTGCTACTCATAATTTTGAACCATCTACAGTACAACTATTATTACAACTATTAGGGCACCTCTTACATTTTAATTTGGTACCCTACTCTCTGCCTTTTTTTATTCTTTAGAAGCACTAATTGAACCTGAATTCAGAACTGATCATTCCTGCACAACAGTGTGCGCAAGAAGACCTTAACAGCTTGACGCTTCTGAAGTCCTAATTAACAGCAAGGCAGCCATCCTACACTTTCAGAGATATTTCAGTAAATAAAATGTAAACTCTTTTAGACTGTACAAAAAAATAATTAATAATATCATTGTTCCAATAATTAATTAGAATATGTATCTGCTTACCAGAATCTGGCAAGGAATTCAAATCTGCACACAGTACAAGTGGAATTGTTGCATGTTCCCCCGAAGCACTAGGCCTGAGATTCCGTGTGGCTTTGTCAATTATGTTCTTTACTTCAGAAAGAAACATCATTGTCTGAACCAACTTCACATCAGAATATTCTGGGTCCCAGTGCATGTGTGCATTTGCTACCAGAATCAGCTGTTTATCCATTACAGAGTGTGGTTTGCCAGCTAAAAACAAAAACAAAAACCATATACAATGTAGCAAGAATGGAACTGCACTGTATGAATCTTAATGGTTAATTCACTCTAGCCTACTTCTGGGCAACTAAATTGAGATTGTCAATGGAAATCAATCAGGATTCATTAGCCTAGCTAGCCATTTTACCATTTAAAAAAGAAAAATGAGCTCAGTGTCATTTTTGTTGACATCATTACATTACTAATCAAGAACAAAAAGCCACATGGTGATAGTCTGCACACAAATTGTGATGCTTTAAAACAACTGCTGCTGCTATCTGTAACTATGTAGCCAAGATGATTCTTTAGTCTTTGCACTGTCTGCTCAGAAAATCAGAGGCAACATGTGATAATTTTGTAAATGGAAAAAAAACCAAAAGAACTTCGGACTAACCAGTAATTATACACCCTCTAAGGGACAGTAGCAATAGAAAGGGACTGCAGCATATCTTTAACCTGACCCTTATTGTTGCTTGAACTCTCTATCTTCTAATGTAACTTCTACATTTTCTCTTCATAGAGGCTCCCTACATGAACAGAAATATGAGAATATCAGATCTCTAAGTCACACAGTGGCTCCCATGAATAGACAATGGTCTCCCTTGCAGAAGAGATACCTTCACAAATAAAAAAGAAAGTGCCGTGTTACTTAGAGGCAGGACTAAATGCTAATAAACTGTTCTACAACCATTTTTATTCAAGTTGCCCCTTTGTATGAATAACTAAACAATCTGTTGTAGCACTACCAAAGGAATCTGTTCTCCTCTAACAGTACAAGGGATCAGCATTTTCTATAAAGCAATTCAAAAATGGCTTCCTTACATAGTTACATGAAATACTGAATATATGTCCATTTCTAGCATTTAACATATGATCTAATTTTCATTAGATATTAACAAAACATACACAGAAATATGAAAAGATGATGACATGAAAAGCAAGCTCTAACAACTCACAGGAATATTCATGTTACATGTTTACTTTCAATTTTCTGACATCATAGGGTCTTTTGTACTGCAAAAATTAGATGTAGAGCCATCTCTTGTGTACTAGGTAAGATTGTCAATTGTAGCTGGGTCAGCTAAAGTATTTTTCTTTGGTACAAGAGTTGAAGGTTTGCTCTTTTAGTAACAGTGAAAGCTAGGAAATTATGATATGTGTTTTTCACTTACAACTAGCCAACTGTAAATAGCTATTTACAACTGTAAATTGCAGTAAGGGAAGTCCTCATTTAGTGACTGCCTTGTTTAGTGACTGTTCACAATTACAACCATGATGAAAAAAATAAGTTTCTAGACATTTACAGATCTAGAAAGAGGAGGGAGCAAAAGATTCTAAGCAAAATTGCAGTTTCACTTAAAAACTGTGTTGCTGAATGACTGATTTGCTGCTCACAATTTTGGTTGTCAAATGAGGACTACCTGTAAGAACTAGAACTAGTAAGTTCTAGTTTCATTCTTAAATTGATCACAACACAGAAAGCTTCAAAGCACCACTGATTGGTCATTCATCGTTTTGTTTTGTTTTAACAGCCCTTCTGAATGATTTTCCCTCCCAAACTCTGTCTGTGTGTGTGTGTGTGTGTGTGTGTGTGTGTGTGTGTGTGTGAGAGAGAGAGAGAGAGAGAGAGAGAGAGAGA